ATAAGAATAAATTGATTAGACTAACACAATACAAACATTTTGATTCAATTAGTTGTGAAGAAGTTACATTAACATATTACAATCATGTTGAATCTACAAATGTATATTGTGTTCACATAAAATATTCAAAGTAGTTCAAGTTTACTTGATTTGATTAGATGCATAATGGGTGCTACGTTTAAATCACGTTCATTCAACAATTTATTTTTTTGAGTGTAGATACCTAATTTCTGTCGCTCTACAAATGTCATCTGGTATAATTGAACCAATTGGCTATGAGCTACGTACAGGCGCATTTGATAGACATTCGTAGCACCCAATAATACGGCCCTGGGCATTCGTAAACCACGCCCCAAATACGAGAAAATGTACATGTGGTTTCCAGACCTCATCTCAATGAGACTTGGGTAAGTTAGCCAGGCTAGCCAGAGTTCAAAACATTGTTTCATTAATCAAAAAACTACTTGTCTTCATTCAAGCCTTATATTTTCAGAAGGAAATACGTCATCGACACACGAAAGGGTAACACTGGGTTTCTCCCAAACCCGTTTAACAAAAACCCTGATATGTAGATAATGAAACTATTGTCATATTGTCTTTTATTACTTCCCGTAAAACACACACACATTTATCATCAGATGCATTTCTTGAGTTCATGCAGTCACTTGATTTTGAAAAACGGGTGGGCAGGCAATATAATAGTGTATACTATGGCAAGCCATTTTAACATTTAATCATTTAAACCTACTAGTCTCTATTGCCATTCTACTAGAACTTGTTTTTTAGATACTGGTATCTATTCCATTACTTATTAATGATCTACTAGTGCTTATTTTTTAGATATACTAGTGCTTATTCATTATTTACTAGTACTTATTCATTAGTTACCAGTACTTATTCATTAAATTCTATAGTGCCTATTAAATTGCTACTATGGTACTTATTCATTAGATACTAGTACTTGTTAATTAGATACTAGTCCCTATTTATTAGATGCTTGTATCATTTGTAATTGTTAAATATTCTTGGGTGACTAGTTATAACTTTTTTTTACTAGTTTATGGCAAGGCGTTTTAACATTTAATCATTTTAACCTACTAGTCTCTATTTTCATGCTTACTAGTACTTATTTTTTAGATACTAGTATCTAATCAATTACGTATTAGTACTTATTCAATAGCTACTAGTGCTTATTCTTTAGATACTAGTTCTTATTCATTAGATACTAGTCCTTATTTATTGGATACCAGTGCTTATTTATTAGTTACTAGTACTTATTCAATAGATACTAGTACCTATTTATTAGACACTAGTATATTTTGTAATTGTTAACTAATCTTATCTATCTTATCTAATCTAGTCACGACTGCTTTTTTTTTTACAAGTCTTAAGTTATGACTATTCAGAACAGCCACTGTATAGTTAAAAAATGTTAATAGTAAAATAAAAATTCTTACTAGTAACTTTTGGAATAAATACTAGTATCTAATAAATAGTTACTAGTATCGATTGAATAAGTAGCTACTAGTGTCTAATGAATAAGTACTAGTATGAATAAGTACTAGAATCTAATAATAAGGACTATCTAATGACTACTGGTACCAATTTAATAGGCACTAGAATATAATGAATAAGCACTAGAATCTAAAGAAAAGGCGCTACACTCTAAAAAATGATGGGTTAAAAATAACCCAACTTGGGTTATTTTATAACCCAACCGCTGGATCAATATTGCACCAGCCCAACAGTAGTTAATTTGACCCAGCAAGATGGGTCGGTCATTTTTAACCCAACAGATGAGTTGTTCATTTCTACTCAAATGCTGGGTCAAATTAAATAAAATTCTGGGTTGATTTAACTACAAATTTGTTATATAGCGTACCCAAATGCTGGGTCAAATTAATTACAATTCTGGGTTGATTTAACTACATATTTGTTATATAGTGTACCCAAATGCTGGGTCAAATTAACCCATATGCCAGACTAATTCTAGCACATTACAGTACAATTTAAGAAAATAAAAGGCAATTGACTACTCATAACTATAAAACAGTTACACTACAAATCTAGAACAGAATACATGCTAGATGTATGCGTAGATTATGCAATAAACACTTAAACAATACAAAAACAAAACAACAATGGAGTCTTTGAAAAATTATTTTATTACTTTAATATCAACAAATATTAGTGGAACTGCAGTTAATATCACTGAAGTAGGAAAACATTCAATTATGAATGAACTGGCTGAACATTTAACAGGCCAACAGTCAACGGGAGCCATTAGCTAGTATTCTGGTATCTTCCCAAAGAAACTATTAAAGGGATAGTTCACAGTTTGAATTTAATTTTTGATATGTTTTATCTTCCCTCAAGGGCATCCAAGATGTAGGTGTCTTTGTTTCCACAGTATTTTCAATTTTGATATCTTTCGGGCAAACCATTGTTGTCAATCAGTCATATAATGGAGGTTTAGGGGGTCCTCCATCAGTTCATGTCAAAGAGCATGCACAGAGAAGTCCAAATTAAACATGATTGAATGACTCGTAAATGTAAGTACGCAGTGAAGGCCTAAGACACGAAACGAGCGGTTTGTGTGAGAAAACGAACAGTATTTATATCGTTTTACCTCGTGTAACTCAGCCATTGGCAACTGATCTGACGGCAGGGGCGCTTCAGTCTGTGCATGCGCCAGAAGTGATCGCTTGCGTGTGTACGTCACTCATTGTTTACACAGAGATTTCGGGAGTTTAACCTTTCACTAAACATTTAGATATATCGAAATCTTCCATTGCGATTTCCTGTATATATAAATATGTTTAGATCTTCACAGTGAAAGGTAAAACTTACGAAACTCTGTGTAAACAATGAGTGACGTCACTTCCGGCGCATACACAGACTGAAACGCCTCTGCCGTCAGATCAGTTGCCAATGGCTGAGTTACACGAGGTAAAAAACTATATAAATACTGTTCGTTTTCTCACACAAACCGCTCGTTTATTGTCTTAGGCCATCAATGTGTACTTACATTTACGAGTCATTAAATCATGTTTAATTTTGACTTCTCTGTGCATGCTCTTTGACATGAACTGATGGAGGACCCCCTAAACCTCCATTATATGACTGATTGACAACAATGGTTTGCCCGAAAGATATCAAAATTGAAAATACTGTGGAAACAAAGACACCTACATCTTGGATGCCCTTGAGGGAAGATAAAACATATCGAAAATGTATTTCAAAGTAAACTATCCCTTTTAATATTTAGAAATAATAACTGTGTGTGCCTCTAATGTTGATCTTACAAGTCCTCTAATTTTTTGAAGAACTTCAGCCCAGGGCCAGCTCTTGGGATCAACTGTTGATGGTAGCCTCATCTAAAAGAAGAAAACTCTCCTCATCAGTCCCCTCCTCTAAAAGACAAAAAAATACAAAACACAAAGAAATCTGTTTTTACAACTGAGGAGTACAAAACTAAAATATATAGGTAATTAAATGGAAGATATGCATATTCCATCATTTGTTATTACAAAATAGAATAAATCACTGAAAGTCTACAAAAGACATGTGCCCTATTCATCTATTGGAGTCACTTTGACACATTACATGGAAGCTATTGAAAAAAAAAGAGAAAATTATATTTCATAAGAATTAATGTCTGAAAAGGGCTTGAGTAGCAATGCAGACTTGATATGCTGTGGATGTGAAAACAAATATTTCTTACCTTGAAATCTTTCAACAAGGTCTGTCAGCTGCCACTCTGTTGTGTCAATGACAAAGCTGACCTGATCTGAAACAAACACAAAATGAGGTTAAAGTAATATACAATTACTATTGTATTAACTATTCAGATGTCACCATGCAAATGCAATGCAGACTAGCAGCAGAATGTAATCCAATGTGAAGATAACAGCCAAAATATAGAGAGACCCTCTCTCCCTATACAATTCAAATTACATGTATTTTACATTCAGACATTTTATGTTACTTCAATGTTTTTACATAACGTTACTTTAATAAGTCTAACACTGTGTTATACCTTCGCATTTCACATTAAAAGCTTTGAGGGCAAAAAAGCGCGCTCATTTATATCCAGTTAACTTAAAATAATGTAAGTTAGCCTGCTAGCCAGGCCGCCATTTTATATAAGAAATGTTTTCTTATCTATCGCGGGTCACCATATTACTTAAATAAATGCACATACATGCATTTAGTCTGGCATATCAGGTTATCTCACTGTTTATACATACTTTAATCAGTCTAACACTGTGTTCACATTAAATGCTCCAGGGAAAAAATAGCGCGCTCAAAATAGCTAGCAGCTTGCTAGTGCTTCAATGATAACGGCTCAATGGCTAACGCTAGCCAAACAAGCCAGACAAACTAGCCTCGACAATATAAAGATATTACTTTAGAAAGGTAGTAACGTTAAAGTAGACTCACTGTATTCCGGACACGTTAGACCGTTTACCGCAATTTCTATAAATAAACACTTCACGGCCATTGCATCAATACGTGTCATCTTTGCCTCACCCTCTTCCGACCAACCCAGCTTATAACTTAGTTGTTAAAATATATGTCTTATATATTAGAAATGACATGTAGAGTACTCTACCTTAGTTTATTTCCCTCGCTCGATGAAAAGTGAAGTTCTCTTTGAAGATCGCTCGGTGTGTGGTGGATCCGGGTATGGTGGACTCTTCTTGTGATGATGTGATGACGTTCGAAGCACAAACAACCCACGTGCTGGGTCAACGGTGTATGTTGGGTAGATGGGTTATTTTTTCCAACTCATGTGTTGAGTCAAAATCCATATACATAACCCATAATGGGTCAAACATTTCATAACCCAGCGGTTGGGTTGATTAAATAACCCAGCATTTTTTAGAGTGTAGTATCTAAAAATTAAGTACTAGTAGCATGAAAATAGAGACTAGCAAGTTTAAATGATTAAATGTTAAAACGGCTTGCCATATAATGCTTTATGATGCCGACAAAAGAAACATTAATGACTCAGACTGGTTTTGCTGCCTAAATCTATAAGCGACTTTCTTCTTCAAGAAACAAGTCCTCAGTCGAGTAGCTTATAATAAGAAGATTGTCAACTCTGGAAAGAGAGAAGGAATATACACTAAAAGAAAAGAGAAGTATTGTATATGTACACGTGTGTTTCAACACGACAGTGGATAGTTTTTATTGTGACGCTGTAAAGCAGAAATCCCCCTGTTTTATCAATCTTCATCCTTCATTAGTTCTCAATCAGGTCAGGACTGCAACAACAGGGGTATGTATTGCTATTAATGTAACTGGACGAGTGTGTGTGTGTGTAACGCTGTGTTTACAATCAGATGTAGCATAATCGTAGTTTCATAAATGCCCAAAACGAAATAAAAAACATGTCTTGAAGGCTTTGTTTGGAAAACTATCCAGATTTAAAATACTGAAACATTTGTCCAAGTATCCACTGTACTTTATTAATTTATTCATCGATTGATTTAGAATAGAGGACGAGTGATTGAAACATAGACGCGCTCCTATATTTCTTTTAATGTCATATTAATACACTAATTGTACATATGAAAGTTAGGCAAAGTTCGTTAGCTGGTTTATAGCGAAAACTCTCGATAAAGTCTTGAAAACACCTGACTTTGTTTTTTTTACTCTTTTATGAGCCTTCTTAATAAAGTAAAATAATAACTTTTAAACTATGGCAGTTTTTCTGGAAATTAGCACAATAAATGTGGCTTAAGTGTGAATTACGTCATAGCCTGTGTTTACTGCTAAATATTCTCTGTGATCAGACTTTAGTAAGGTTAGCAAAGAGACAAATGAATAAACATTAATAATTAAAACATCAGTTGTTTGGTCATATTACAGAACCTGTTTCAGTCCCAGTCTCCCGGTTATTACTGACTCATTTCCACTGAGATATTTGATTGGCTGCTGCCCCATATAAACATTAATACTCATTTGTTGAATTTCTAAAGACCCATTGTATTCTGCGACAAGTTGTGTACATTTTAAGACTGATAAGAAAGAGACTTCCCATATAATTGTTGCAATATGAAATGCAAAAATGTTGAAGCTCAATATTTCAAAACTGCTCAGAATGCAGACAGAAACTTACATTTCCAGGGTGACAATACTTTTTTATGTAAATTGACATAAAATGTGTGTGTATGTATATATATATATATATATATACACACGCACACACACACACACACACACACACACACACACACACACACATATGTATATATATATATATATATAAATTTTTTGACTTTTTTAAGTTTGTGTAAATTCACTTGGGGTTCAGATAAAAAAAAATCCCATATTTAATTTTACAAAATGATGTGCTTTTGTTTTATGAATACATTGTATATGTTGTTTTTTCTTGATTTCCCCTGAAAGAGTGGAAGAGACGTGTGAAAACAGGAACATTTATAAGCGATCTTTTATACCTAGTGCAATACATTTTATGAATATATTGCAATAAATTGTACTTTTTGGGACAGAAAGTATAGCCTTGGCTAGACAATAAAGTGGTACAATATAATACAATACAATATGAAGAACACTAAAAGCTCTCGGTCAGTAATTTTTGAAATGTAAATATCATGGATACTTCATTAATGTTCAGCATGTTCCCCCTATAGATGGCTGAGTATTACAAACTCTCAGACATCGGTGCTGTCAGCGGGTCCTCAAATCACAGCGTTTCTCCTGGCGTGATCAGTGAGTATGAATATCACACACAATATGAAAAACATCACTTTTACTTTGCAGAATAATTATCAAATCGTTCTTAGAAACCATCCCGAAATGTTTCGACTTTAATCTCGAAATGTTTGGACTTTAATCCCAAAATATTTCGACTTTAATCCGACTTTAATCTCGAAATGTTTGGACTTTAATCTCGAAATGTTTGGACTTTAATTTCGAAATGTTTCGACTTTAATCCCGAAATGTTTCGACTTTAAACCCGAAATGTTTTGACTTTAATCCCAAAATGTCTCGACTTTAATCTTGAAATGTCTCGACTTTAATCCCAAAATGTTTCGACTTTAATCCCGAAAAGTTTCGACTTTAATCTCGAAATGTTTTGACTTTAATTTCGAAATGTTTGGACTTTAATCTCGAAAGGTTTCAACTTTAATCTCGAAATGTTTTGACTTTAATCCCGAAATGTTTGGACTTTAATCTCGAAATGTTTCGACTTTAATCCCGAAATGTCTCGACTTTAATCTCGAAATGTTTCGACTTTAATCTCGAAATGTTTGGACTTTAATCTCGAAATGTCTCGACTTTAAACCCGAAATATCTCGACTTTAATCCCAAAAAGTTTCGACTTTAATACCAAAAAGTTTCGACTTTAATCTCGAAATGTTTCGATTTTAATCTCAAAATGTTTGGACTTTAATCTCGAAATGTTTCAACTTTAATCTCGAAATGTTTGGACTTTAATCTCGAAATGTTTCGACTTTAATTTAGAAATGTTTCGACTTTAATCCCGAAATGTCTCGACTTTAATCCCGAAAAGTTTCGACTTTAATCTCGAAATGTTTCGATTTTAATCTCAAAATGTTTGGACTTTAATCTCGAAATGTTTCGATTTTAATCTCAAAATGTTTGGACTTTAATCTCGAAATGTTTCAACTTTAATCTCGAAATGTTTGGACTTTAATCTCGAAATGTTTCGACTTTAATCTCGAAATGTTTGGACTTCAATCTCGAAATGTCTCGACTTTAAACCCGAAATATCTCGACTTTAATCCCAAAATGTTTCGACTTTAATCCCGAAAAGTTTCGACTTTAATCTCGAAATGTTTCGATTTTAATCTCAAAATGTTTGGACTTTAATCTCGAAATGTTTCGACTTTAATTTAGAAATGTTTCGACTTTAATCTCGAAAGGTTTCGACTTTGATCTCGAAATGGCTCGACTTTAATCTCAAAATGTCTCGACTTTAATCTCGAAATGTTTTGACTTTAATCTCGAAAGGTTTCGACTTTAATCTCGAAATGTTTCGCCTTAAATCTCGAAAATGTTTCGACTTTAATCCCGAAATGTTTCGCCTTAAATCTCGAAAATGTTTCGACTTTAATCTCGAAATGCTAGATTTATTTATTTTTTTACAGATTTTTTTTTTAGTTACGGGTGTGGAACGACACGAGGCAGAGGAATTAATGACAGAATTTTCATTTTTAGGTGATCTAAGCCAAGATCCAGAATGATAAGAAAGACATCATTAAAGTAATCCATGGGACTGTGTTTATGTTTTGTAAAGCAACTTGAGTGCTTTGTTTGCACAAAATAATTTACCACTTTATTTACAAAATAATATTATCCAAAGTCTGTTCACGCAACGTCATCTCTCCCGTGAACAGTCGCGCATTGTGCATGTGCAGATTAATATTTTAGTAAATAAAGTGGTAAATTATGTTTCTTGGTGCATAGAAAGTGCTAGCGTCACTTCATAAAATAGAGGTTAAAGCACTGGAGTCCCATGGATTACTTTAATGATGTCAATTATATCATTCTAGATATTGAAAGTGGTAATTGTGTTCAGTAGCTAAACTAGGATTGTGTTTTAAGGTGTCTCGATCAAAACACAGGAATGGATCAGGACAGTCTGATTCAATCAAACAGAGAGTATGAGTTGATCTGTGTGTGAACATAATTAAAGAAATAATCAGCATAATTTGACTGTTATATCAAAATAAACCACACTAAACATCACATTGCAGTACACTATATAATGTTATAATATAATATAATAACTCAACTTTCCAACTTTACAATGCATTTTGTTACTGTCATTGTTTAAGTAAACATAATCGTCACGTTGACCCGGAAAGTGTCAATATGAATATCTGAAGATATCCTTAATTGCAGCATTATATTTTGATTTATTAATGACAGAAATTAAATTCTTGGGTGAACTAACCCTTTAGATTACACATTCAAGAAAATATCTAATAAAATTCATTGCATTCATATAGTGCAATATATACAAACTTTTGTATAAATGTTTGTGACTGTTGATTATAGAAGTGGTACAAGAACATGGATACACAATCGAGGACCAGCTTGGACGAGGGGCTTCAGGAATAGCGTTTCTGGTGAAAGACGCAGATGGAGATCTTTATGTGGTCAAACAGATGAACTCCAGAGATGTAAGATCTTACTTGAGTATTGACCACACAACTCACAACGTGTTGCTTAAACGGAAGGGTTTTTCTTCTTTCTTTCAGGAGGAGGAACTGGATTCTGTCAAAAAGGAAGTCGAGATCCTGAAAACTCTGCAGTTTGGATATGTTGTTACTTATGTGGATTCATTTGAAGGTTTTTTTCTTTGTACACTAACGCTCATTTGGAGCAAATTCAAAATTTGGTCATTTTTGTTGTTTCTGAAAAATTTAATAGAATTATTTACCACAAAAGACATCAAAAACATCAGTGTAGCTTTCAGAAAATGAAGCTATTTAAATACAGCCAGAGTTAAATTGTTTTCTGAATGGATGTCCATTTATTTAGATAAAGACGCGGGACGCATTTATATTGTGATGGAGTATTGTGAAGGAGTAGACCTTTCAAAAATCATGGAAAAACAGAAAGATGAGAGTTTTTTTGAAGAAAAACAGGTGAGTTTCTATTCTATTCTCTATCCGTTAAAGAACTCTCTCATAAAACATGGTTTTATATGTTATGACCCAAAAAATACAATCCTTGTAGGGACATTATACACATATGCAGTACACACACACGTTGGGTTTTCATGTTTTATGAGTATATATAGACGTTATGGTTTTTATACTGTACAAACTGTATATTCTGTCCCCTAAACCCAGTCATCACACACAACTTTCTGCATTTTTACATTTAAAAAACTTTCCTCTTGGAGACCCAAAAATATCCCCACAAATAAGGACCACACACACTGACTCAAACAATCTGGACTCCTCATGTGTGTAGGTCCTCGACTGGCTGGTTCAGATTTGTCTGGCTCTGCAATATCTACATGAGAAGAACATTCTTCATAGAGATATTAAACCTCAGGTATGCCTCAATAAATCATATCACAAAGTCAAATCTGCATGACTTATGAGATTTCTGTTGTCACTGTAGAATGTCTTCCTGACTAAAGATGGTTACATCAATCTAGGAGATTTTGGAAGCTCAAAAGCATTGGAAAGGTAAACAAACTAACATTAATGGGAACTAGTGATGGATCAAAATGAAAATTCTTGGCTAAAACCAAAAGTCCTGGACAGTTACTGGTTTGACTTTACATTGTTTTTCCTTGTAGAACTAATGAATATGCTAATTCAATTGTGGGAGCAAAGCCCTACATCAGCCCAGAAGTTTATAAGAAGAAATATAATTTCAAGAGGTATGCTTTTGGATGTCTGAATCTATATAAAATATTGATGCATGGTTATCAAAATTAAAATTTCCTTGATTGTTGATCATTGATCAATGCTGGCTAAAACATTTCTTTATTTGTTGTAACATTCTGTTTCCTGCAGGTGTGCGAGGGAAATTGCTAATAAATTGAGATTTAAAAGATAAAAGCAAATTTCACAATTAATATTAAATTCATTGTGTTATAGACAAATAATTTGGGAGATTTTACATGATTTATTCAGTTAGATTCCATTAAAAGCCCTATTCAGATGGTAATTGTTTATCATGCGGTCACAAGGTATTTTCAACATTTTCAATGGATAGTCTGTGATTTTATTTCCATCCAAACCCGCTGCGTAAAAATTACCTACAGTTTTTGGACAAACACCTCAAAATGCATCGTTTAAATACTTTTTTATCCCTGCTGAGCACCGTAGTATGATAACTGTTGTGCTTTACTGTAATTTGCATGCGTTTTAAAAATATACACATTAATCACTGAAATTCTGCACAGTATTTATAAGAACAATTTTTTATATCACGTAAAAAAAAACACGTAAACATTTGAAAAGGGCCGTTATTGTGGCAGCAATACAGTTTTCAAAAATGTAGGCTATTATACAGAACATTAAAAATACTAACCAAGTAGTTTTATTATTATATTATGTAAATAAGAGGCTGCATTTACTTGTTTTCGCTAATTTCCATATTTATAAAATTACATACTTTTGAGATAAATCCTTATTTCATTGCATATACGCGTCTAGCTTCCTATTTTTTACAAATGAGATTGAAATAATTAAATAATAAATAGAACATTATTATGATATTGTTTAATTAAATACAAATTTATTTGTATTACTTCAATCAATAAATCTCCATCCGAATGCATAAGTTTTATCACTGAGCATGCAAATTTATCTTTAAGACGTCCACATGAGAAACACTTACTGTCCGAATAGGGCTCACGCTTTATAATACTCACAAATATCATGTGTAGTATTGTTATAATTATTTAAGTAGATAGCACATAACATTTTTTTGCAGTGTACACACTTCTTGATTTTCATTGTCATGCATCTGCTTTTTTAGTGACATATGGTCATTGGGATGGTTGCTCCATGATCTCTGCATGCTTGATGTGTGGGTGAGCATTTTTTCTTTTTTTTCCAAACAGCACCATAATACTGTCCCGTTTTTAGTCCAATGATGATAAAATGTAAATGATGATAAAAGGGTAAACGAATAAAATACTTATTAAATAACTCAAAAAGGGAAATCCAAACAATGAGGACTCTCGATTCTGAGGATTCTGATTGGCTTGTATGGCTCTCCCTACACTGCCGCCAATAGGTTTGGCATAGATATGATGGCGCTCGGCGGCGTATTTATGCGGGTGTGTGCACAATGTTATTTTTGAAAACGCTTCACACCTGAACCAGCTAATCAGTGCATTCAGAACTACTAAGGGTACATCTACACAATGTTACACAATATGCTTAAAATGGAAAAGTTTTTTCTTTTGAGTTATCCGCACACAGACGGCAACATTGTCAAAATGATCCCCATTCACGCAGATCAGCGAAAATGGCTAAAAACACCGTATTCTGCGGCCAGATAGATGGTGATGAAACACTACAGACTGAACACATAATATGTATGTGCATGACGTCATCATCTTCAGAGGTTCATGTTTCTCATTGTGTCCATGAAGAACGTTTTCAAAAACTTGAACTTTGAAACATGTCTTCAAAAGTTTGTTTTCAGGCACCCAAAATGCCAATGTCGTGTAAATGAGCGCCCAAAATGCAGCATTTTTAGTTGAAAATTGTGTTGTGTAAACAACCCCTTAAAAGGGATAAAAGGGGACACTTTTTTTTGGAAAATTTCACTCATTTTCCAACTCCTCCAGACTTAAACTGTTGAGTTTTACCGTTTTTGAATCCATTCAGCCGATCTCCGGTTCTGGCGGTACCAATTTTAGCATAGCTTAGCATACATCATTGAACTGCACAAGACAATTAGCATTTCTCCAAAAAAAAAATGACCAAAGTGTTTCGATATTTATCCTATTTAAAACTTGACTCTTCTGTAGTTTCATCATGCATTACAGACTGATCTCATAAAGTAGCGTGTGTATGACACGCCAATTCGTATTTCCATTTTTGGCGCGCTATCAAGACGCATAATCGCCTTTCAGCGTGTTTATGAACGCCGTTGACTTACCGTTATATAAATATATGACTTACCTCAACCCCGTCCCTAAACCTAATCGTCACTGGGGTTAATGGCATTTTTGACTGCTCCCTTACCATCCTAGGAAAGAAAAAGATATGACTTACCTCAACCCCGTCCCTAAACTTAACCGTCACTGGGGTTAATGGCATTTATGACTGGAGATTTGACGGCGTATTCAGACACGCGGAATGACGCGGACGTTAATGGCGTAGACATACGCATACACACGGATAGCACAAAATGCGTGGAGATGACACGCCACCTGACTCGAAAGTGGCGTATATGTTTACGCAAAAGTCATGATGTCATGTTGTGCATTAAGAGAGACGGAAAATGTAAAGTTGCGATGTTCTAGGCTGAAATGGCTAGGAACTGTACTCTCATTCCTGCGTAATAATCAGGAAACTTCACTGTCGTACCACGAGTGCAGCAGGCGTAAGGATATGACGCAGCGCCTGAAAATAGTGCCCAGCTTCCAGTGTGACCGGGACTAAGTTTGTGTAGTCATACGCCTGCCACACTAATGGTACGGCAGTGAAGTTTCTTGATTATTATGCAGGAATGAAAGTATAGATCCATTTCAGCCTAGAACATCGCAGCTTAACATTTTCTGTCAGTTTTAGTGCGCAATGTAAAAAAAAAGTGGAGTATCCCTTTAAGCTACAGGCAGGTGAGTGGTTTTATTTTCAGGTTTGGAGCTAAAATCTGCAGGGGCCAGTTGTTCAAAACATTTAATGTAGATCAAAATGATCCGGATTTGGAAATCCCATTTTTTCCTATCCAGGATCAGGTAATCCGTCTTACTTTTATGCCGGTTTTTCAAAGCAACATTGGACTGGATCACCCTGATCCAGATACACTGTTTTCAAGATTACCAAATCCGGATTACCAGTGCTCTAAATGGGACAACATATAACAATGTGGGCTAAGAACAGGTAGAAGAGCCAACATGGGGTCACTGTACTTTACTATACTGAATAGCTTAATTGTTAGCCTATGTCTACTTTATCACTGTTACAACGGTTACACAAGTCAAGTGCAAAATATAAATAAAAGTATATACGCTAAACTATACAAATGTATTATTTGACCAATTTTAAAGTTTTACTACATTTTCTTCCTGAAATCCACCTTGAAATCCTACCCCCTATTGGGATCAGGATAATCCTGTTTTTTTGGATCAAAGTTATCCAAGTTTTGAACAACACAAATTGAAGGTTTGATCCAGATTAAAACTAGGATTGGATTCCCTGATCTAATCTGATTTCAGATTAGAATCTTGACCCATTTTCAAGATTTGATCCAATCCGATAACCAAAATCCGATCAGCTTACCTTTGAACAACTGTCCCCAGGATAGCGGCTCTCCAGGACCCTGGTCTAGTTAATTACCTTTATTTTTTTATTCATTATAAATTGCTTGCAATTATATCCAGCTCTTATATTTTCCCTTTTTTCTGCAACCCCTACTGACACTAATCAGACAATTTTTTCCTCCATAGGCAGATGACATGCAGCGTAACATACTTCATTCTATGAGCATGGCAGGGAAACTCCCTCACGTCTCAGAGAGATACTCAGAGGAACTACGGGAATTAATCGGTCAAATGCTCAGCCCTGACCCTAAAGACAGACCTTCAGCTGAAGAGATTCTAGCAAAACCGTTCCTGACAGATGCGGTAGACAGAAACAGCAGAATACCAGAGGCACTGCTACAGACTTTCACCAAGTCCATCAGCGCCTTTGATGGGGCCTACAACAGGCACTATGAAGACCTCGAGGGTTTAGTTAGGGAGTGGGGAAGAACAACAGATTCAATGGAGTCTGCGCATTACAGCGCCACAGCGGGGAGTCTGTCCGGGTCAGTGATCGGAGCAGCGGGAGGAATCACGGCATTAGTTGGTTTAATCTTGGCTCCGTTCACTCTTGGGGCGTCTCTGATTGTTACCGGTGTTGGTGTTGGAGTGGGAGTTGCAGGTGGAGTAACTGGTGCTGCATCCACCATTACTAATACTGTACAACAAAAAGCATTCAGAGAGAGCCTTGAACAAATTCAGCAGAAGTATGAATCTGTAAGCGAACCAATTCTCACACCACTGAACACGCTGAGAAAGGTACTGAGAAAAATTACAAAGTTCAGTGTTTTTTTCGGCAACTCGACTTTCGACAATGTAAAAATATCATGCAATTTAGACAGGAGAAATGTTTTGTGTGCCACACAACTCTTGAATTTAGGTCTGTTGGCAAACATCAGCAGAATTGCTACTCAGACCGCAAGAGTAGGTCGGGTTGTAGCCGAAGCATTCTCAGGAGTGTTAAGCGGACTACTAGTCATCCTTGATGTCGCCTTCATAGTGCTGGATTCTGTAGACATTCACCAGATGAGACAGGGAAATGTAGATGATCCGGAAAAGGTCAAGTCCAGTGTCCTCAAATCCATTGCAGAGATGAGGAGAACACATAATGAGCTTTGCAATGTCCAGACGGAAATAAAAAAAACAAGAGAGGAACTAAAAGACTATATAGAATTGGTCAGGGGGGACAGAGAAATAGACAATGATTTAAATTGTTTAAACATATAGATCACAACTAAGCAAGCCAAAAGCCAAAGGCGACAGTGGCAAAGAACCAAAACTCAATCAGGGACAGAATGGAGAACAAAAAACAACCCCAACTGTATATCAGACACTATAAATCCATTATAAACATAGACGTGTAGGTTTGATTATGAATTGTTTTGTATATGCACTTATTGGGTGAATTTATAATTAAATCAACTAATGGCCTAAAGGATTCCAAGGTAATCTTTGATAAACACAGAATATGAGAATATTTTTATAAGCAAGTGCTCTTGAGTTTAAACCAAAATAAATAAAGGAAAGAGTGTTGTTGTTGAGTCTCCCATTCGTGCCCGACTCTTTGTGAGCCTAGGAACTGCATGCCAGGCCTCCCTTTCTTCCAGGATCTCCTTAAGTTTGCCCAATTTCATGTTCAATTCATCATTGACACTAACCATCTCATCCTCTGCCTTACCCTTCTCCTTCTGCCTTCAATCAATCCCTGCATCAGGGTCTTTTCAAATGAGTTATCATTAAAGGGTTAGTTCACCCAAAAATGAAAAATTAAGTCATTAATTACTCACCCCCATGGTGTACCAACCCCGTAAGACCTTCGTTCATCTTCCGAACACAAGTGAAGATATTTTTGATTAAATTTGAGAGCTGGATCACTGCTACATAGGCTGCCTAAGGGATCGAAACTTGACGGCCCAGAAGGTCAATGAAGAAAATGTTTAAATATTCCATGTGACTACAGTGGCTCAACTATAAGTTTATCAAGCGACGAGAATACTTTTTGTACGACGCATGCGCGAGAACTGAACTGAAGTAGTTGAAGGAGATCGCAATTCTCGCGCATGGGTCGTGGAAATCTAAGGAAGCCTTGTTTCAAGCCAACAAGGAAGTAATGGAATAGTCGAATAAAGTCATTATTTTTGTTTGTTTTTTCGCACAAAAAGTATTCTCGTGCATTATTATATTGGTCTAATTGAAAACCATGGTGTTCAGTTGAACTAAAAGCAAATAACCCTCCGCATAGAAGAATTGAGAATAAACAGACTAATACAATTTTTCAAAAGAGAAAATTCTTGCTAAATGATTTCTTTTATTTTCAAATTAAGTTGTAAAAACATTAAATATATACACTGACCTACATGCAATTTTTAGCTTATGTCTAAAGAAAATATATTGATTACTGGTATGGCCATACCAGTTTAATCAATCGAAAACAAATACAAACATTAAGTGAACGTCAATGAGACAGATCTCTCTCTTCTCTTTCTTATAAGAGCCAAAGTTATGCCAAAGCCAAACTTAAACACACATAAGTTTATCTTGGATTTGCATGGAAGAGTAGAAGAGGAAGAGAAACTAGATGTTCTAATGAAAAACAATGAAGAATGAGTATATGTATATCAGATTCACATCTCTTAAAAGTGTTATGGCCTTCTTCTCCAGTGTGAATTTTCTGGAGGTCTTCAGTTCATCTTCTGTAGTGAAACACAAAGCCGTGTCTTCCGTAATATTAAGGATGAATATTCTCCTTTGATTGAATCTTCTGTTCTTTCTTCAGGACTGATGCCCAATTTACTGTTAAACGGTCTTTCTTCAGAATAAGATGAGATTTCAGAGAGAAACCCTGAGCCGCTTCTTCCCAGTGTGAACTCTCATGTGAATCTTCAGCCTTGATTTACTTAAGAAACGTTTTTTACACTGAGGGCAATTTATTGGCTTCTGTTTTGGTCCACGTCCATCAGGTCTAAAAAAAAAAAACATTAAATAAAGTGAGTTTCATTGGACTATTTTATGCAAATGCCTTGCTAATCATGTCTTACTCATGTAGTTAAAGTTGAGCTGGGCGGTTTCGAAACTGCTTCACGAAGCTCAGAAACCTTTATGAATCTTTTGTTTCAAATCAGTGGTTCAGAGTGTGAATCAAACTGCGACAGTCACGTGATTTCAGTAAATCAGGCTTTGTTGTCACATAACCGTTTCAAAATATCAATGATCTATGTGAACCCATCATGCGGTGAACCATTGAACAAGTATATATGTTTTTTGCCTGACCTCTGATCAGTTTTAAACATTTGTGGACATTTTAATGAGACATCTGCATTATTAAAAGTAATAATAGTAGTCAACTATTAACCCACATGTTATACAGATCTTTAATCTTTATAATATTGGATGATGTGTTGAGGGCATTTGATTGATTACTTCAATAAGACATTTGCAATGGTTTGTAAAAGTTGTTTTTATGTCTGTTTGGCATGAGTTTGTGTTGGATTTACATTGTTCTGACCAATGTGTGGCATTTCGAACACTTCAAAACAGTGAATAATGATTTAAAAAGCACTTTGCTCAACTGATTTAAACCTTTGTAAAGGCTTGGTTTTTCCCACCACTACACAAAAAAATCTGGTAATTCTTTCTACTGTAGGATTGAAAATAATCCAAGACATTTGAACCGAACAAAGACATATACTTTACTGTGGTCCGCCCCTTCTTTCAACCACAAGGACCATTTGGAGTTCCCAAAGTCACAGAGGGGCTGATAGTGATCAAGGCCTGTAGGCCAAGATACTTCGGGGGTCTATGAATTGACACATCTTAGAACAATGGGAGATCTGATTGGTCAGTTTGAATATCTCACATTTGGGTTTTAGTCACATGGTCAGGGAGAGGATAAAAGAAGATTGAAACTGTTGCTCTGTCTCTTTTTTTATGCTCTGGCTCTCTTTGATTCTCAGGGTCCCTCTTGTAGTTCTATCAAAACAGAAGCAAAACAGGCAAACAGATCTATCTGTGCGCCGCCAAACTGATCCCAAATCAGCTGAACCAACTGGGGATGGAGGAGTCATTCTTCAGGAAGAGGCTGAAACTGTGAGAGCTCTTCGGCTGCACAATTCAGGACCCCCGGAACGTAAATGGCTTGAAGCGACCTCAGAAGCTTCCAACTCCATAAGAAGAGGTGGCAGGCGAGTTGCGACATACGGCGGGACCGTAAAACTTGTCGGTTGATGTACGCTGCTGACGCGGTATGGTCTGATCGGACTGGTACGTCTTGGTTCTTGAGCAGTGCGGAGCGAGACGTACTGCCAGCAACTTCAGGCAATTGACATGCCATTGGCGCTGGAAGTCCTATCCAGGAGCTTGCGGCAGCATGTCCATTGCACATGCCGCCCCAGCCCGTGGTGGAGCCGTCTGTTGAGACAACAACATGCCTGGAAACTCAACCTAAGGGCACTCGGGCCAATAGAAAAGTAAGATTCATGAAGGTCTGATGGCAGGTCGGAGTAACTGGCACTCGGAACGTGTCTTGTTGACATGCCCACCTCAGGACTCGATCGCGAAGCCAGAGCTGAAGTGGTCTCATATGAAGCTGTGGATACCCTCGGATTGTCGCAGGCAAGTCAGCAGTGACTTTTTGCAAACCTGGTCTTAAGAGTGAGCTAGGAACAGCCAGTAATCGAGTTGTTGCCGTAGCGCTCGGTCCGCTTCAGGGCAGCCAAGAACTGTTGGGCAGAGTTCTCGACAGCACCACCGAAAAGGCCACCCTGGGATATGGGGAAGTTGAGGAAGCGTGTTCACTCATTCACTCGCCCATATCAACCAGGTTAGGCCAGAGATGTCTGACCACGCATGTCGACATCACCTGACCCAGGTATTTCGTCGCTTGTAGAGCAAGGTCAGGTGGTGGCACGTGGCTCTTGTATGAGCCCTGAATCAGCCCTACCCTTGCACGAGCATGCATTGAGGCAGCAGACAGCCCCGCAACTCTATAGGTGTTTGCCACCAGATCTCCTGAACCACCACCAATGTGCAGCTCCACCTGGATGATGCGACGGCAGCCATATTGCGCCAGAACGCTCACCACACACTAGCTTACTGGTGGAGAGGAGACAGTGATGAAGCCAATTGGTATATATGGGGATGATTAGGAGGCCATGATGGACAGAGGACACTGGGCAAATTTGGCCAGGATGCCGGGGTTACACCCCTAGACATCCTGGGATTTTTTATGACCACAGAGAGTCAGGACCTCGGTTTAACGTCTCATCCGAAGGACGGTGCTCTTTTGACAGTATAGTGTCCCCATCACTATACTGGGGCGTTAGGACCCACACAGACCACAGGATGAGCACCCCCTGCTGGCCTCACTAACACCTCTTCCAGCAGCAACCTGGTTTTCTCAGAAGGTCTCCCATCCAGGAACTAACCAGGCTCAGCCCTGCTTAGCTTTAGTGGGCAACCAGTCTTGGGCTACAGGGTGATATGGCTGCATAAATATATGACCTACCCCAACCCTGTTCCTAAAGCCTGGAACACACCAAGAAGACGCCAACGAACTAGCGCTGATGAAAGCCAACTGTGTTGTCGCCTCTCGTCGAGGTAAAAAGCTGCACTTGAACACACCGAGAGAACTACAGGCGACCGTCATCTAGAATGTGCATTCTGCGCCTGCGTATAATGAGCCAACTGTCTATTTCTGCAGATATATTAGTCTATATTCGTCATTCAAAAAGGAAAACCAACGCTGCCGGCTGCAGATACACATAATGTAAACAAAGCAGCGCGTGCTTACCTTTTTGAATATCAATCCTGTTGAACATTTTCTTTATTCCACTCCACTCATGTTAATATTGAAATATTCGCCAAGGAACACTCAGGGAAGAAGACGTAACATAAGAACAGCCTTCTATCTTTACCGTTTTGACTTCTTTGCTTGCTGTTTTGCTTTTATTCTCTTTCACTAATTCCGAGTTCAGACTGCATGATTTTCAAAGTAGTCGGGTCGCTGTTCTTTTCACACTGCATGACTATCTTGGCCAGTATTCGGTCACTGCTGTGTTCACACTGGACGATTGATCGGCGACAAAGGTTTCACACTGCATGACTTTACAATAGGAAAAAATCGCCGACAGACTCTATCTAGCATGCTGCGTGCAAACTACGTTTCACAACAAACACACGTGAGATGTAAAAAGGAAACAACGCGACACCACACGTGCAAGACCGGAGTTCTCACGTGAGACTTTTTTTTTTTTTCAACCCGGTTGTGGTACAGCTGGTGAAACGTCAAACAGACACGAGTGCTCCTCCTGCCAAATTTATTCTAATTTTTCTTCCATTTATTGTGTCCAAATAGACCGAGAAGAAGCATTTTTTCTGAAACAATGCCATATCATGTTGATATGTGATCTATAACTCCTCCCCGAACTCCCTGCTGCTCTGTATCTTGCTCTCTCACTGGCTGCCGGTGATCGCCGATGTAGTTTTCAGTCAAAACACTTTTCACACAGCAGGATTTTGAATTGCCGACAGGTCCAGATATTTAGCA